ATGTTTTGAAATCAGACCAATAGTTGATGTCTTTGTGGAGATAAGTCATGCTTTTTACCAAGGATCCTTGCAAGACATCGGTATGGTGTTCGAATAACCATAGCGATGCGGCCCAGCAGAATGCGGCGTATAATGGATAGAAGTGAAAGTCTAGAATGTATTTAAGGAAATGATTTTTGCTGGCCGAAATGCCTAGTTTGGATTACAACCGAAAATCCATGCAGAGAAAATTTTTAAATTCATTACTATTTTTGTTTGCGTAAATCTCTTGCCTATTATAGGCAATGTGGTATCAACTGGAACAGAAGCGCACCTAGTTTGAGAAACAGGAGAGTAAATTTCGATCAAAACTGATCTTTCAAGTAAATTAGCGGAAACATTATTAGCAGTAACTTACTTGGCTTCGGTAGCACTTCCTTTTTGAGCAGCAACTTCACGATACCAATCAAGATCCGCGAAAGTAAATACATGTTGATCTGCAAATGTAGGTAGTAAGCTTGCACTTGACACAAAAAGTAAAATCGAAGCATATTTTAATTTTCTATTATATTTCCTATTGAACTTTAGGATAAACGTAAATACCATTTATAGTCAAGTGTTCTCGAAGGCAGAAATTTACGTAAATGGCGAACTCAGGGCTTACAAAAAGCAAGGGGGATAACGTTTTCGTAGTCCAAAATACATAAAAACAAGCGATGTTTTGTTTTTTTAAGGTTTTTCCAGGTTTAGGGTCCGGAGTCAAAGGGGACTTTGTTTTGCAATTTTCCTGGTGCTAGCTTATGCCGAGCCAATTTCTCTGGGCCAAGTATTACATATTTCGGGACGTATGAATCGACTTTTGTGAATTTTGGAGATTTTTGTAACTTTAAACGTTTTGTCTTTGAATATATGAACATCTCAAGGCATTATAGTAGTTTTTCTTGTAAAAAGTACGACTCAGCATTTCTGGAGTTATTTAGCCTCAACTCAAGCAACCGGACGGAAGTTGGTCCTAATTTCAATTGAAATTCACCCAATGAACCCTGATGCTAAGAAAAGTGGAACAATCGGTAACAATGTAGTATGATTAGATTTTGGACAATGAATCTTCGCCAAAAAATTTTTGAGTGAAAGAGTATCAGTCCTTTGAATTATCGAACGTTTAACTTTGTAGTGTTGAGTATATTTCTCTCACTATGACTGACTCTTGAAAACAAACCTGTGCATTTACGGGATTATCTTCACCAAATACGAAGTATCCAATTATACCAGCAGCAACGAAGGAATGCCATTCACGCGGTATATCTCCTACAGGAAAAAATTCAGAGGTCAAAAATAAAAGCAAACAAAAACTTTACCTTTCACACCATCAAGCCGCATAATAAGCTCTTTCAATAGACGATAAAAAAATGAAAACTTAGCAAGATTTAGAGCATGTGTCTTTGTCATCCGCAAAATTGTTGAGATCTTTTGGACAAATCTGTAACATTTAATGTCGACAAATTAAGCATAAACAGTGTTACTATGAAAACAAATGATTTTTATACTTACGCTTGCTCTCCGAATAGAAATACCATAACAAAGGCATGTGGTAATCGCACTTTGACTCCATACCTAAGATCATGGGATTGTT